TCTCCCCATGGTCCCTATCTCCCCATGGTCCCTATCTCTCCATGGTCCCTGCAGATTCGCAGCCAAGGCAAGGGAAGGCCAACCACGAGGAAACGTCGCCCACCTTGGAAACGTTACTCCACTTTCCGAGCTCCTTCATTTCTTCCTTGGATTTTTTTAAGTCCCCTGTTCCGGGAAGGTTTTTATTCTTCCAAAATTAAAGTGAATAAGCTATGCAACAAACTTTGAATTAGTCTAGAAGAGCTATCAATATTACAAGAGGCTCTGAGACTTTCCTACTCACATCCCATGACCCAGTAGCGAGTGATCTATCTGAAGGTATAGTCACTTGCCAACCCCTTGGCTATGTTGGATCATCTGACCACAAGGTTGTCTTTATAGTACTGAAGATTCCAACAGAACGAGGTGAAGAATCAACACACACACACAATCTGGCTTTGGGAAAGAGGTGGAGAGCTCTGGGTTCGCCGCCACCGATTGGAGGTGATGTAGACAACCTGGACACTTTCTTGATCTACAACAAGAATACATCCCTCGCCGGCAGTATGTAACAGATCAGCCTTGGCTCGGATTTCATTGTAGAGAAGCTGTTACTGCTAAGTACAAGGCTTGGAGAAGGAATAAGAGGCATCTCACTATCTTTAACAGTAACCTGTACAAGTAAACCTGTTGGCAAATGGAAGAAGTCCAAAAGTGGGCCATCTCTAAACAGATGGCTGACACAGCAAGAAAGCTGGCATCAGGTAGGGTAGACTCCTAAACCTGGTAGCCGTTAGTCAAGGACCGTCTAGATCATTCATCTGATAAAATTATTCCACCTCTAAAGCTGCAGGATGAGACCCTCTCTACTAACAGTCAGAAGACGGCTGATCTCTGCCTAGCACTACGCTGCTAAGATGGTAGTTCCTAATCCACCAAGGGAACCTCATTTGCTAGCCACAAGAACTGTCAAAGTTGTCAGTGACAATACGACAGGATGAAGTGTAGCTTCTTCTTAAATCGGTGAACCAAGAAATGGCTGTAGGGCCAGAGAAATTTAGCCCAAAATTGCTGAGTAGATGTGCAGACCAGCTAGCATCACCTTTAACTCACGTCTATCAGCACTGCCTAGCATAATGCAAATGACCCTCTCTGTGAAAAGTGGGAAATGTTGTCCCTGTTCACAAAAAGAACAGAGCGGAAACCAGCAACTACAGACCAGTGTCACTCTTTTCAGTGACGCAAAATTTTCGAGACTATTATCTAACGGTAGATCTCAGCGTGTTTCGACTGCCACTCGCTGCTGTGTGACCGTCAATATGGCTTCGGAAAAGGTCACTCTGTTGTTAATCTGCTGTTCAACCTCTCCACTGAGTGGCAACAGTTTCTAAAAGTAGTTCTCAATGGGACAGAGTCAGCAAGACACTCTATTAGTGCAAGTGTTCGAGAAGGAAGTGAGCTTGGGCAATTGTTATGGAATGTCTACTTAAATGACCCTCTTCATCTCATCCCAGAAACCCTTGCATATGCAGACGACTGTACTCTGACATTTACTTGTCCAAGAGTGGAAATGCCAGTTATTCTAAGTTATATCAATCACCAACCAACAGCTTTATCAGCTTGGGGAAAGCGATGACAAGTAACATTTGCTCCTGAGAAAGCTCAAATGATGATGGCCCCTAGGTACCATAATGGTAGTGCTGGAGCAGTCGTAAGAATGAATGGGAGAATGTTAGTACAAGGGGATGAAGTTGATATCCTTGGGGGTGAAGTTTCTCTCAAAACTGACTACAAAGAAACACGTAAATCTTGCAGACAAAGTGGCCAGGAAGCTTAAAGGCCTTAAACATATTTTGCACCTGCTTGACAGCAGATTCTATACGAGGCACAAGTACACTAACACCTTGAGAATGTTCTACTTTCTTGGACTGCTTGCCATCTTATCTGCAACTTCATGACCGACTAAACAACAAAGCAAGACGACATGCTGTTATGTACAAGACCTCCACTCCGGGGGACAGCGAGAAGTGAGCTTGTACACAACAAGACGGGCAGGAAACAGCAACTACACTCTGTACCCATCTCCTGAACATCGCTTCATCTGATATCATTTATTCCTAGAATGACTAGTGTCTGGAACATAACGACATCAGCGAAATGAAGTCAGTTGACCAAATGAAATCGCTGGGCCACAAATGGCTCCAACTGTTATATATCTGTTATATATCTCGTAACAATAAAAAAATTTTTAAATGAGATGATGTAGGTAAAGACTCTTAGCTTGTAAATAATGTTAGGAATCCTTAACCTAACCTTGTAAAACCCTGTGTAAAAGAGAGAGAGAGAGAGAGAGAGAGAGAGAGAGGTAGAGGTGGGTGGGTGTTGTAATCACAATCTAAAAGTTTAAAATGGCAAAGTCATTCATAATTCGTGTCAAAGAAAATGATACATGTGACAAGGGAACACACGTGTGTCCAACAATAGTTACTTGAGCATAAACAACGTTGCCAGGTTAGTGTGTCACTGAGGTGCCACAACACCTGGGTGCTCAGTAGCAACATTAACCTCCACATTATCAACACTTACGACATGTGATCGTAACATATGCAACTTTCTATTTCTTGCCCATGATTTCTGGGCTTATTTTTTTTACACACACACACACACACACACACACACCCCACCACACACACACACACACACACACACACACACACACACACACACACACAACACGTCAGTGTAAGAGGACACCAACAAGTAATTTATTAAAATATAATTTCTGATATACCTAATATGTGTCTTTCATATGAAGATTATTTTTTATCAGAGGGTTTTACAGGGCTTTACAAGGTTTTACAAGGTTTTACAAGGTTTTACAAGGTTTTACAAGGTTTTACAGGGCTTTACAAGGTTTTACAAGGTTTTACAGGGCTTTACAAGGTTTTACAAGGTTTTACAGGGCTTTACAAGGTTTTACAGGGTTTTACAAGGTTTTACAAGGTTTTACAAGGTTTTACAGGGTTTTACAAGGTTTTACAAGGTTTTACAAGGTCAAGGTTTTACAAGGTTTTACAGGGCTTTACAAGGTTTTACAAGGTTTTACAGGGCTTTACAAGGTTTTACAGGGTTTTACAAGGTTTTACAGGGCTTTACAAGGTTTAACAAGATTTTACAAGGTTTTACAGGGCTTTACAAGGTTTTACAAGGTTTTACAAGGTTTTACAGGGTTTTACAAGGTTTTCAAAGGTTTTACAGGGCTTTACAAGGTTTTACAAGGTTTTACAAGGTTTTACAGGGTTTTACAAGGTTTTACAGGGTTTTACAAGGTTTTACAAGGTTTTACAGGGCTTTACAAGGTTTTACAAGGTTTCACAGGGTTTTACAAGGTTTTACAACGTTTTACAAGGTTTTACAGGGCTTTACAAGGTTTTACAAGGTTTTACAATGTTTTACAGGGCTTTACAAGGTTTTACAAGGTTTTACAGGGCTTTACAAGGTTTTACAAGGTTTCACAGGGTTTTACAAGGTTTTACAAGGTTTTACAGGGCTTTACAAGGTTTTACAAGGTTTTACAGGGCTTTACAAGGTTTTACAAGGTTTTACAGGGCTTTACAAGGTTTTACAAGGTTTTACAAGATTTTACAGGGCTTTACAAGGTTTTACAAGGTTTTACAGGGTTTTACAAGGTTTTACAAGGTTTTAGAGCTTTACAAGGTTTTACAAGGTTTCACAAGGTTTTACAGGGCTTTACAAGGTTTTACAAGGTTTTACAGGGTTTTACAAGGTTTTACAGGGCTTTACAAGGTTTTACAAGGTTTTACAAGGTTTTACAGGGCTTTACAAGGTTTTACAAGGTTTTACAGGGCTTTACAAGGTTTTACAAGGTTTCACAGGGTTTTACAAGGTTTTACAAGGTTTTACAGGGCTTTACAAGGTTTTACAAGGTTTTACAGGGCTTTACAAGGTTTTACAAGGTTTTACAAGGTTTTACAGGATTTTACAAGGTTTTACAGGGTTTTACAGGGCTTTACAAGGTTTCACAGGGTTTTGCAAGGTTTTACAGGGCTTTACAAGGTTTTACAAGGTTTTACAAGGTTTCACAGGGTTTTACAAGGTTTTACAAGGTTTTACAGGGCTTTACAAGGTTTTACAAGGTTTCACAGGGTTTTACAAGGTTTTACAAGGTTTTACAGGGCTTTACAAGGTTTTACAAGGTTTTACAAGGTTTCACAGGGTTTTACAAGGTTTTACAAGGTTTTACAGGGCTTTACAAGGTTTTACAAGGTTTTACAGGGCTTTACAAGGTTTTACAAGGTTTTACAAGGTTTTACAAGGTTTTACAAGGTTTTACAGGGTTTTACAAGGTTCCATTAAGGTTCCTATCCTTATTTACAAGCTAAGAACTGTTACCTACATATTAATTAACATATTAAAGTATACTAAAGGCAGAAATATTTTGGTTATTATTAATCAGATAATATGAAGATGTCAAATATTTTTTTGTGGAAATAATCTTCACATATATTTATTTGCTTCTATTTTAGGCCTAACTAAAAAAAAAAAGGAAAAAGATGCCTCATCAAAATAAAATTTGAATAAACTGCGTGGAAGAAAGTATTATCTTTATCTTCCTTGTTCTCCTCTTTGTCTCCATGACTTCCTCTTTGTCTCCATGACTTCATCTTTGTCTCCATGACTTCATCTTTGCCTCCATGACATCATCTTTGTCTCCATGACTTCATCTTTGCCTCCATGACTTCCTCTTTGCCTCCATGACTTCATATTTGCCTCCATGACTTCCTCTTTGCCTCCTGCTTGGCCTCTGATCCTGGTTGCGGGCCTCCATGGCCTCGTAAATCTCTCCCTGGCCCCATAAGTATCTCCATGGTCCCATAAGTATGTCCATGGTCCCATAAGTCTCTTCATGGTCCAGAATCTCCGTATTCACAATTCCTCGGTCAAATTCTAAGTGTTTTATGCCATTTCCCAGACTTAACATTGTCTGATGTCTCCCACAGGACTGGCAGCTGCACATCCGCTACGTACAGGTGCGGGACGAGGGTGTCTACGAGTGCCAGGTCTCCTCACATCCTCCCGTCAGTCTCCTGGCTACACTACACGTCTTACGTAAGTGTTCCTCCCGTCCAGGTCTCCTACTATCCTCCCGTCAGTCTCCTATGTAAGCGTTCCATCCGGCCAGATACCACACCATCCTCTCCTCGGTAATCTACGCTACGCTATACGTCTACAAAGGTGTTCCATCCCCTTCCCATCACTCCTTCCATTTCCCCCACTACTATTCCTCTCCAGTTCCCCTTCCCATCTCCAGCAACATCAATACTGCAACACAAATAATTCCTACACAGTTGCTACTCTGAATGGAGCTCCAGTTCACTAGTCAAAGCTCACTCCTGAGTCATTAATTATCTCTCTCGTAAAAGCACAAAACTCCCTAGTAATTCAGGAAGCTCTCATTCCAGAAAACTGTTTAATAAGGCAGGAAGATTTGTAGTAAGTCAGAAAGCTGGAAGGTCAAAAAAACCTGGTCTCAGGCCGGGCCGCGGGGGCGTTGACCCCTGACACCCTCTCCAGGTATATTCCAGGTATGGCAGAAAGCTCTCAACAATGGCAGAAAACTCTTTATTGTGGCAGAAAGCTCTCAGCTATGGTAGAAAGTTCTCAACAATGGCAGAAAGCTCTCCGCTATGGTAGAAAGCTCTCTACAATGGCAGAAAGCTCTCAGCTATGGTAGAAAGCTCTCTATTATGGTAAAAAGCTCTCAGCTATGGTAGAAAACTCTCAGCTATGGCAGAAAGCTCTCAACTATAGTAGAAAGCTCTCAACTATGGTAGAAAGCTCTCAGCTATGGCAGAAAGCTCTCTATTATGGTAAAATGCTCTCAGCTATGGTAGAAAACTCTCAGCAATTGTAGAAAGCTCTCAGCTATGGCAGAAAGCTCTCAACTATAGTAGAAAACTCTCAACTATGGTAAAAAGCTCTCAGCTATGACAGAAAGCTCTCAACTATGGTAAAAAGCTCTCAGCTATGGTAGAAAGCTCTCAACTATGGTAGAAAGCTCTCAGCTATGGTAAAAAGCTCTCAGCTACGGTAGAAAGCTCTCAGCTATGGCAGAAAGCTCTCAACCATGGTTGAAATCATTCCAATAAAACAGAAAATGGCTTTGAAGCTAAAATCGCTGTAATCATTACAAATGCTCTTTCCTGACCTTTAAATTATGTTTCTTTTATAGACAAGTCTCGTTACACCATCAGCCAGATGGAGGTATTAACCCCACACCCACACCACCACCCACACACTCCCACCCACACACCACCCGCCCACACATCTCCCACGTACCTCAAACACCTTCCCCAACATTCCCGCCCACACACCAACCCTCCCCACCACCAACACCCCCCACCAAGTTTAGTAAGTGACTGATATGCCATAATGGTGGAGATGGCATAAATGAGACAGCTAGCATGCTCCACGGACCGGTCCATATGAGGGTCTGCCAGCATGCTCCATGGACCGGTCCAGATGAGGGCCTGCCAGCATGCTCTATGGACCAGTCCAGAAGAGGAACCGCAAGCAAGCTCCATGGACCGGTTAAGAGGGAAGCTGCTAGCATACGCCATGGACTGCTTCAGATGAGGATCTGACACCATGTTTCATGGACCGGTCCAGAGGGACCTGACAGTATTCTCCATGGACCGGTCCAGAAGAGGCTTGAGAGCATGCTCCATAGACCGGTGCAGAGAGAGCTCCTAGCATGCACCATAGACCGGTCCAGAGGAACCTGCCAGCATGCACAATAGACCGGCCCAAAGGAGACCCAAAAAATGCACCATGGACCAATCCAGAAAGACCTGCCAGCATGCACCATGGACCGGGCCATTTCAGTGCAAATGGATGATCGCTGTCAGGAAATGTGATCACCGTTTACCATCCTGGCACCCCTGTGTGTGTGTGTGTGTGTGTGTGTGTGTGTGTGTGTGTGTGTGTGTGTGTGTGTGTGTGTGTGTGTGTGTATGTGTATGTGTGTGTACTCACCTATTTGTACTCGCCTATTTGTGGTTGCAGGGGTCGATTCATAGCTCCTGGCCCCGCCTCTTCACTGATTGCTACTAGGTCCTCTCTCTCCCTGCTCCATGAGCTTTATCATACCTCGCCTTAAAACTATGTATGGTTCCCGTCTCCACTACTTCACTTTCTAGGCTATTCCACGGCTTGACTACTCTATGACTGAAGAAATACTTCCTAACATCCCTTTGATTTGTCTGAGTCTTCAACTTCCAATTGTGACCTCTTGTGTCTGTGTCCCATCTCTGGAACATCCCGTCATTGTCCACCTCGTCTATTCCGCGCAGTATTTTATATGCCGTTATCATGTTTCCCCTGACCCTCCTGGCCTCCAGTGTAGTCAGGCCGATTTCCCTCAACCTTTCTTCGTAGGACAATCCCCGTAGCTCTGGGACTAGTCTTGTTGCAAACCTTTGCACTTTCTCGAATTTCTTGACGTGCTTGACTAGGTGTGGATTCCAAACTGGTGCTGCATACTCCAGTAAATGGTATACAGAGTCTTGAACGAATCCTTACTGAGGTATCGGAACGCTATCCGTAGGTTTGCTAGGCGCCCGTATGCTGCAGCAGTTATCTGATTGATGTGCGCCTCGGGAGATATGCTCGGTGTTATACTCACCCCCAGATCTTTTTCCTTGAGTGAGGGTTGCAGACTTTGGCCATCTAAACTATATTGTGTCTGCGGTCTTCTTTGCCCTTCCCCAATCTTCATGATTTTGCATTTGGCAGGGTTAAACTCAAAGAGCCAGTTGCTGGACCAGGCTTGTAGCCTGTCCAGGTCTCTTTGTAGTCCTGCCTGATCCTCATCCGATTTGATTCTTCTCATTAACTTCACATCGTCCGCAAACAAGGACACTTCTGAGTCTATCCCTTTCGTTATGTCATTCACATATACCAAGAACAGCACAGGTCCTAGGACTGACCCCTGTGGAACCCCGCTTGTCACAGGCGCCCACTCTGACACCTCGTCACGTACCATGACTCGTTGTTGCCTCCCTGTCAGGTATTCTCTGGTCCATTGCAGTGCCTTTCCTGTTATGTGTGCCTGATCCTCTAGCTTTTGAAGTAACCTCTTGTGAGGAACTGTGTCGAAGGCCTTCTTGCAGTCCAAAAAAATGCAGTCGATCCACCCCTCTCTCTCTTGTCTTACTTCTGTCACCTTGTCATAAAACTCTAGTAGGTTTGTGACACAGGATTTTCCCTCCCTGAAACCATGCTGGTTCTCAGTTATGCACTTGTTTCTTTCCAGGTGCTCCACCACTCTCCTCCTGATGATCTTCTCCATGACCTTGCATACTATACACGTTAGTGATACAGGTCTGTAGTTTAGTGCCTCATGTCTGTCTCCCTTTTTAAAAATTGGGACTACATTTGCCATCTTCCATACCTCGGGTAGTTGCCCAGTTTCAGATGATGTGTTGAAGATCTTTGTTAACGGTACACACAATATTTCTGCTCCCTCTTTAAGGACCCACGGAGAGATGTTGTCTGGTCCCACCGCCTTTGAGGTGTCAAGTTCGCATAGCAGCTTCTTCACCTCCTCCTTGGTTATATGTACCTCATCCAGCACTTGCTGGTGCACCCCCTTGCTCTAATTTCCTGGAGTCCTACTGGTTTCCACTGTAAATACTTCTTTAAATCTTGTGTTGAGCTCCTGACATACCTCTCGGTCGTTTCTTGTGAACTCCCCATCACCCTTCCTCAGTCTGATTACCTGGTCCTTGACTGTTGTTTTCCTCCTGATGTGGCTGTACAACAGCTTCGGGTCAGTCTTGACTTTCGATGCTATGTCATTTTCGTATTGCCGCTGAGCCTCCCTTCTTATCTGTGCATATTCGTTTCTGGCTCTTCGGCTAATCTCTTTATTTTCCTGAGTTCTCTGTCTTCTGTACCTTTTCCATTCTCTAGTACACCTAGTTTTTGACTCCCTACACCTTTGGGTGAACCAAGGATTCGTTCTGTTCTTCCCATTATTTCTGTTTCCCTTGGGAACAAACCTCTCCTCTGCCTCCTTGCATTTTGTTGCAACATAGTCCATCATTTCTTGTACTGGTTTTCCTGTCAGTTCCCTCTCCCACTGAATGTCTTGAAAGAAGTTCCTCAAGCCTGAGTAGTTTCCCCTTTTGTAGTTTGGTTTTCCCACCCTTTTCCTCCACTTGGAGCTCAACTATGTAGTCGAAGCACAGAACCACATGATCACTAGCTCCCAGGGGCTTTTCATACATGATATCCTCGATGTCCGAACTACTCAAGGTGAATACAAGGTCCAGTCTTGCTGGTTCATCCTCTCCTCTCTCTCTGGTAGTGTCTCTAACATGTTGATGCATGAGATTTTCCAGTACCACATCCATCATCTTGGCTCTCCATGTTTCGGGACCCCCATGGGGCTCCAGGTTTTCCCAGTCAATCTCCTTGTGATTGAAATCACCCATAACTAGTAACTTTGCTCCCCCCATGTGTGCTCTCCTGGCCACCTCGGCTAGTGTGTCGATCATTGCTCTGTTGCTCTCATCGTATTCTTCTCTTGGCCTCCTGCAGTTCTGTGGTGGGTTGTACATTACTACAATAATCACCTTATGTCCCTCAGACTAGATTGTTCCTACTAAGTAGTCCCTTTCGCCCGTGCCATCCATTCCTTCCATTTTCTCAAACCCCCACTGGTTTTTAATGAGCAGTGCAACTCCTCCTCCCCCTCTCCTCCCTCTGTCTTTCCTGAGGATTTGATATCCTGATGGAAAGATTGAATCTGTTATTATTCTGGTGAGTTTTGTTTCTGTGAGTGCTATGTCTGGGGATGTCTCCTTGATTCTTTCGTGCCACTCCTCATACTTATTTGTTATTCCATGTGCATTTGTATACCACACCTTCAACTTCTTTTCTAAGATTGTGGTCTGGGAGGTGTATTGGGGTTGGGGAAGTGGGAGACCTGATAAGGAACTATGGGTGGTTGCTGTGGGGGTGGAGTTTGTAATGCAGTGGGTGGGGGCATTGGATGTGGCATGGGTGTTTTGGTTTAGAGTATTTGGTTGCACTGGGGTTGACTT